ACGCAACCAGAGAGGCAATGTGTGTTTTCTTAGCCGTCCTGATTGCCCGAAGGTAATCTCTGGTGTAGGTTGTCAAAAATGCTCGGCTCGATTCCCCAAAAGCAACTTATGACTCGCTTCTGGAACTTGAACAGCTGCACACATATACATATCTTACGATCACATGACCACATTCCAGATGTTTGATAACCAACTCACCTTTACTGCCAGTTGCACAGTTCTAAGGTCAATGTGACTACAATTTATGGGAAAGAGAGATAGAGAGGGAGAGACAGAGACAGACAGACAGACACACACACACACACACAAACAGAGGTTCCTCACATGCACACCAAGGCTGCCACATTCCTTCACTAATCTGCTTTCCACCCCAAGGAACATAACAAATTAAAGTTAAATTTGTATGTATTGTTTGGACTGCTAAATTGACCACGCCCACCCTGTCACATGACCACATAGACATGCTCCCCCAGCCGATCCCCCCCCAACAGTCTGAGGACCATGAATTGGCCCCATGTTTAAAAAGTTTGAGGACCCCTGCATTACATACTGGTTTGGAAGCATTACTGCTTCAGACAGAGAGTGGTGAGGATGGCAAAATAGATGAGTGGCAATTCCTTCTATCCAGGACATAGCACGGAAGCTAATGCTTGGGCAGGGTCTGCAGGATTGTCTGGGATGCTACATATCCTCTTCATGATGTGTTTTCCTGGGTGGGGGGGCTTCGGGGTATCCGAAGCAGAACATCCAGATTCAGTTTTTTTCCATATGGCATCAACTTTGTGAAGTCTCAAGTTTCCTCTTTCCACTAAGTATTCAAAATGGACAGTGATTAATATACATATGTATACCTATATATATCTGTATATATTATATACACACCACAAGCACACCATATATATGGTATACACGTTATACACATATACACATGCTATATACATGTATATGTGTGTGTGTATCGCTTGTGTTTATGTGTGTTATGCATATGGATAGATATATGCAATCTTTTGAGAGCAGGCAACAGAATTTAATTTTTAATGTGTGCCAGTGTGCCCACTGTAAAAATTGACAATAAAGATTATCTTATCTAGTCATTTGAGTGGGTGCCATTATCGTTATGACTTACAATGGAAATTCCAGGCTCTGTTATGGTCATAAGTCAAGGACTTCTTACCTGCATAAGAAATCCAGAACATGCTATTTTCCTCTGATTGTTCCGATATATATATAGAGAGCTGCTAGCCAATAGGAGCAGATGGTCAAGGGGGAATTGTATTGTTTTCTCTCACTCTGTCAACCAAAGACAACTCTTCAAAATGCAGGGGGGGACGACTAACATACAGAATCCTTACTGCGAGCAGAGTAGTGATGGTGATTGGTCTTCTCAATACAGTCTCTGCCTTTATCTCCCTTCGCCCTTTCTGGCATGCCATCAAGGTTGGGCGTGCTTTCTCAAGAGGAAATGCTCGTCAAGAACTCATGACTATTGCCTCCGAACCTGCCATGAACTATGTTTTCGCCGTGAACAATTTTGATGCTCTCAAGGACATCCAGAACAGTCTTCAGAGCAAAATTTTTGCCATAGAAGGTATTACATCTGATGGTTTGCCTAGAAATAATGCTAGGATCTGGGGCTCAAACTGGCAGTTAGAATTCACTATCATAGGTAATTGATGGATTGTCTCCCTAGTAAAAAATGATGAAGAAAGACATGATATGACTGTTAGATGCTGGATCCAGCTGCCATGAGTTCAGGACTGACTTTTGTGACTAACTTTTAGCAGGAGAGGCACTCCTCAATTTATGACCAGTCACTTAACAATCATTCAAAGTTATGAAGGACTCAGAAAAAGTTACTTACGACCAGTCCTCAAAGTCATGATTGCACAATCATGTGATCATCATTTACAATCTTCTCTGCCAACTTCTCCAGAAAGTCAATGGGGAAGCCAGCAGGAAAGCTTGCAAGATGCTGCCACTCACCAAAGGATTTCTTCTCCCCTTGGTGCATGGGGGGAAGATTTCTGTGATGGGCTGGAGAAACAAAACTGGGGTCCCAAAGATCCTAACTTTGTTTCTTGGTCTCAGTGCTGGTGTTCCCTTCTGCACTTGGAGGGGAGGGGAACTCCTGGGGTGGAATAGCAAAATGAAGCTGGGATCATAAAGATCCCAGCTTCATTTCTCTAGCCCACCATAGGAGTTCCCGTACACACAGAGATGGGGACTGCCATCCTTTCAGTCCCTCAACTTAATCCATGCAGTCACTTAACAACTGCAAATGAGAACATCAGCATTGCAGTCATTGAGCAAAGTGGTCATATGGGCAGCTCATTTGTTGACCCCCAATGCAACTAAAATTCCAGCCTCAGTTGTGGTCATAAGTTGAGTACCAGTATAGGGAGGAGCATAGATCTATTGATAGATTGGGATATAGGTCAGTATCTATCTATCTATCTATCTATCTATCTATCTATCTATCTATCTATCTATCTATCTATCTATCTATCTATCTATCTATCTNGCTGAGTCAACCTTGAGCCGGTGAGATTTGAACCACCAAACTGCAGCTTAGCAGTCAGCTGAAGTGGCTGCAGTACTGCACTCTAACCACTGCGCAACTTTGGCTCAGAGGTGGCTTTCTGCTGGTTTGCTCTGGATCGGGCGAACTGGTAGTGGTGGTGGCAGGAGGTTCTGCCTACCTGCCCGGACGCTTCTGCGCATGTGCAGCAGCGTTGCACAAGCCCGCACACAAGCAACCTGATAGTAAAATAAATTGAAACCCACCACTGATGTAAATGCACGATCAGGATCATATATTAAATTGCAGTTCAGAAGATTGATTCTCAAGCCTGTAGACAACTGGGTCAACTAATGGTCAGCACTAAATTGGCACTAGCTAAGAGTAGAATTCAAAAGGGGCTGGACTTGAAATGCTTGTGTGAATGTAACCATTCTAAGTTGATGACAAGCTTAAGTCCACCTCCCAATTCTGCCTGTTCTTCTCCTACCCCAATATCTGCAAAAGAAAGTTCTTTTTGGCTTCCTGGTTAAGTTAACACTTCCTAGAGTGTTAATATAAGGGCCATGGAGGTAGACCTCCATTTCGTTCCTTTAAACAGATAAATGGAGCAAACCTATGCTCATCCCTAATTTTTATTCTTAAATTACTTCTATTGAATATTTGTTAATTTCTCTAAGATTTTCTTCCTTTTTTCTTTACAGGGCATTCGTCTGTAGATCATCCCGAAGATGCTTTTTCAAGAGGCAACTGGACTTCCTTGTTGTCCTTTGAAGATGTTTCGCTTCTCATCCAAGAAGCTTCTTCCGAGCTGAAGCGACACGGATTCAAAGAATAACAAGAAGGTCCAGTTGCCTCTTGAAAAAGCACCTTTGGGACAACCGTGATCTGGGTGATTGAGAATCTCCATAGACATTTAGCAACTTGAGTTGTAGACCATGTTTTTCAGAAACTGGCTGGGAAAGAAGGAAGGTAGAGGTTTAACATGTTACTATTATTCTCATTTTTCTTATTTTTCTCTAGGCGTGAAATGTTTCTCCCCGAAAAAGGAGCCCGCAGTGATGCATCTAAAGTTCTCATTGTGATAACTGATGGAGAAAAATCAGGAGATCGTCTAGAATATAGTGATGTGATTCCAGAAGCACAAAGGGCTAACATTATCCGCTTTGCCATCGGGGTGAGAACATTAGCAGAACATTATAAATAGTCCTTGCTTAATGACTGGTCACTTAGTGACCATTTAGAATTATGATGGATTGGTTTGGTTTTGGTTTGGTTTTGG